AGAGCCCCCGGTGCGGGGGGGTGGCCGGGGTCTCCCCCAGGCCCGGGGGAGCAACCCCAGGAGCAGGGCCGGCTGATAGAGCGGGCAGACAGCAGCCCAGGGCAAGGGGTTGGACACACAGGGCCACTTGCAAGGGTCTCCTCCCCAGCAGGGGCATGCCTGGAGGCAGCAGGAGCAGCAGCTAAAATCAGGCTGTGCTTGCTTTCCCACCCATCACAGGTTTGCAGCGCCTGGCTGGCAACAGGTCTGGCAGCCCCAGCACAAACCCTGTCCATATTGAAGCTTGCCAGGGCTGCAAGCACAGCAAGGGGAATTAAAAAAGCAGTTTATACACACGTTCCACAGGCACAAAGGGAAAAAAAATGCATTTCGAAGTTGTAGTCTCTCCCCAGAACAGGCAGACCCACTCTTGCATCCAGCTGTGTCCCAGGGAGCATCTTACCTTGGGTGAATGCTCTTCGCTGCTACCCTTCCCCACCAGCCCAAGCAGCAGGTTTCTCTGCCCTGCCTCTCCTCCCCATGCTTTGCAGGCTATCTCATAAAACCGTGCAGGTTGTGCTGCGCACAGAAGTGGACAACATCAGTATTTTTAGGTCCCAAGGCCACTTCTGTACGCAAGCAGGAGAACTTTTCATATTCCCTGCACGCCCACTGTGCTCCCGGTTACTGCCCGTGACAGTCCTGGATGGGGTGGGTGGCACTGCTTTAGCAGTTCAAACTTTAAAGATACAGCAGGTGCCATCAGCATTTCTCAAACCAATGAGCAGACTGTCACTGAGGCAATGGTATTAGTTCTTGGCCAAGACCCAGGACATCAGCTGCTCCTCCAGAGAAGAGCAAGCAGAGCCCTCCAAGGCACACAGCCCTGCTCTCACTCGAGAGTCCTGATCTCCTGCCAGACAAACTCGAAAGAGACGTTACTCCTGGGCCACCGTGGAAACAAGCACACACCCACAGGGTCACCACACACAAGTACCTCCGGAGCAGCCTCCCAAGGGGGACTAGGTGTCCCCTTTGCAATCTGGATGCACAGACTGAATGGTCTTACATGCAGGACCCAAGAGACTCACCAGCATCCATTCAGGGACTGGGGAGCTTTGACACAGCTCCATCTTAAAGTATAAACCCCAGCTACCAAAATGTGATTCCTCTGCAGCATGGCTGTGGTTTGGCCTCTGACCTGGGGCAGAAGGTAAGGCTGCCTCCTCCTCCTGCAGCCAGACCACCACCAGCACGTCTCATGTCGTTCTGGGAAGCCAAGCACCAAGAGCTCCCCCCAGTCTGGCCATCAGGCCCTTCATCCCAGGCCTGGCTCAGGCTGGCCTGGCAGGAGACCCACTTTGGTCTTTCTGGCTGCACTACTGCCGGTCACATCTATCTCCTTATATACATGGTAGAGCCCACGGCTTCTGGGAGAGGGCTCCCAGAGAGATGTACACGTACATGTCCTGCAAAACAGAGACTATACTTCAGTCCTAGCCAGTGTCTCTGCTCACAAGGCATCTGCTGTCTTTTTTGTCTCTTTCAAATTGTCCAGTTGACCATCAGGTTCACTTCAGAGCAACTGTTCTCAGCCTTAAGTTAAACCTGAGGAAAGGTGATGTGCTGAGAGAGGTTTTCAGGCTTCTCTCCCTGAGCTGAACCACCTGATCTCCCCCTAGATGCAGTTGTAACACCAGACTAGCACTCTGCTCTCTTTCCATAAGCCATCCTTCTCACTGCTCCAGTTTCCCCTCTGCTCCAACGGCCACAGCTCTGGCTCCCATCCCTTCGCATCCAGGTGTGTTTTCTACTTTCAAACCTTTCAGCCAACCCTGCCTGAAGCCACTCCAGCTCCTTCTTTGTGCAGACAGACGAGACATGGGGGAACTGAATTTCCCCAGCCACCAGCACATGGAGCAGGCAATCACCCTCTGCTAGAAATCCAAGGTTAGCCAGTTCCATCCTTAGCCACATCACCATCATTCCTTTGACAGGGAGAACAGATGTTCTGGCCAGCACAGAGAAGGAGCCTCAAACCCGACCTCGCCAGGTTTAATTTACATTATTACACTCTGGATAGAGAAAGCTGGACTGAGCTTGCAGTCATCCTGGCTCTTCATCTTCTAAGGCACAGGCTGCTCTTTTCAAAAGGTTTTTGTCATGTACGAGCCACTTCAAGCATTGAAGTGTTACTTCCTCAAGCCCACAAGGTCGTCGCTGGAGACAAGAGAACTCAACAATAGCATGAACCTTGACCACACCCTCACTCAGTTAACCAACACACTGTACACGTTGCCCTCCCTGTAGACCGGACGCCCTTTTATCTCCAGCACCTCTTTGAAACACCCTAATTTGCATCTTCAAAAACTGCCTTTTGCGTTTCAAACTTGCCAAACAAATTAGGCTCCAAATTTTAAATGCTTATATATGCAAAACGTTTTAAAATTATGTCTTGGCTTTGTTTGATTGTTTGTAATAATCGCTTAGCTGGTGTTCGGACTGGTGGTATCTGAACATACCCAACCAAGGCTAAGTTTCAGCAACTTCTGTTCTAGATCAGCCCCGTTGCCAAACCTGGATGAGAAATTTCAAGGCTACTTGCGATTCCTAAAATCTTGCTGGTTACTAAGAAAATAATGTACCTCATATAATTCTGCAAAGGTTCCAGTAACTGGGTCTACACAGGAGCACTGAGGAGGATGGCATAATGCACAAGCAGAACTTTACTCCAACTGCATCCTAGCTAGTTACTAGACTGCTAAGTCATGGCGTATTTAGTATCAGTTCATGACTTAGCTGAAGAACTGCAAGAGAAAAGGCTCAATCACTGACAGGAGACTCATGTTGAACAATGATCATATTGTTCGTAACTCTGTAGCACTTCTCTGCCCCAGCGCCCACCCTCTCAGTTGAAAGGAGCCTCCACACCACCCTGTGGAACATCCTGAAAGCCACTGCTCTCACAGCATCAAAACCAAACTGCTCCCTCTTCCCAGGCAAAGAGCTCACACTATGCCTGCTTTGGGGGTGCCTGTACCAGATCAGGTATTGCCACCTAGCCCCGAGACACAGAAAACAGTCGTTATCCCAGGAAACAGAAATCCTCAAACTGGCATCCATTTAATGATGCTTCCTTTATCTCAGCCTCCAGCAATCCTCCGTGGTATCTTCACTAATGGTTACTGATGGCTTTTTCTTTCCCCATGAACTGGTCAAGCCTTTTTGAACTCAGTCAAATTGTTAGCACCCACAAACTAAGGAAGAGCTTACCACGAAAACTGAGGAAGGTGCAGCCTTGTTCAATCTGCCATCTTGTAGTTTAATCGAACACGCCCAATCCTAAACATTACAGAAAACAATGAAAAATCATCCCCTACTCGTTGACAACACAGTTTCACACACCTTTATTGTTTCAACTGGGAAAAGATCAGAGTGGATGAATCTCAGCCTACTTAACAGGTTTCTTGCAGGAAGTTTTTCCTGTATCTTTGGTTGGCTTTGTGTCTCTCTGTGTCCTTCCCAGTTCTACTACCCAAACTGCAGCTCTTCCAGGTGCCACCATCCACATCACAGGCACTGACAGAAGCCTTGCAAATGTGATTTCTTCCTCACCCACAAAGCCTTCTAAGAGATCACTTAGGAGATTTTGCCTCTCCTCCCTTTGGCTCCTTACCCCCATGGATCCAGCCCCAAAAATGCCACTTACCAAACGAAATAATTTGGATGACAGCAAAGAGAGGGTTAAAGACATTTATAAAAAAAAAAAAAAAAAAGACGATATCTACAGCTTGTATATTCAAATATGAAGAAACACCAGATTCAGAGTTACCTTAAGCTTTTAATATACCCTAACGACGACGACATATTTACAGACTATTGCCTAAACATGAAACTCTCCAAATGACACAAGCCACAATTTCTGTAATCCAAATGTACAAAGTGCACGTCTTTCCCCTTTCTTCTCTCTGCAGCAGAAGACGGGGACGGGGGAAAGGGTCTCGTATTCTTTATACCTTCCTACCCTTAAGACAGTGGGAGTAACTGGGTCAGACTGAAGGACACAAAACCTGTTGATTACTGGGTTATCCACCAGGCAGACTCTATGGATTGCAGTTTAGAAGAAAGTAAGGGCAGTGACTCTTGTTTACTTGGTCAGTCTGCCCAATGGATTTGCTTGGGAAAAGTAATCTAGGGCCAATGCCCCAGAGAGATGAGTGGGAAGGAACGGTTATTCAGCTATTCAATAAATTAACTCACAGACCCAATTCAACCACTCCAGGTTTCCCAGATACATTTGAGTCAGTTTCTATTCGCAGCCCCATTGCTCTGGGTTCAAACATGGGCTCCAAAACAGAATCTGATTATCCCGGAGCAGGAGACAACTCCTGTGCTCCCCAAGCCGCTAGTTGCATAAGCTCACATATAGTCCCACACTATCTGTGCCAGGCAGGGATGAAAGGTTTTGGACAGCAAATGAAAACAGTGCCAACAGCAGCCCATTGCACAGGATTAGCTACTCCATCTAATCCCTCTTGAAAACCGCCAAAAGAGAGCCTCTTCTGCAGCACTTGCCCTCTTAGGTGGGAAGGCAAGCAGAGGCACTCTGCCAGCACCGTGTTGAAACAACATGTAGCAGGAGCAGGCCAAGGAGTGTATGGTTAAGAGCCAGGAAAGCTACACAATTGTCCTGCTAGACTACAAAGCACCAGTGTGAATGCAAATGGCAAGAAGGAGCAGTGTGCAGGGTATGAGGTACAGGAGTATACTGTGTAGAAACTCGAAACACAGATGCCAATACAGGAAAGAGCAAACATCCACACAGAATGGACAACGGACCGAGCCCAAGGAAGACTCACTTTAAGGAGCTGATGTGTAATACATCCCCTATCAGTATGAGGCACTCCACAGGCTACACACCAGACACCGGTCACTCCATTTGAGAGAGCTCTCACTCAGGGAAGGAAATGCTGTAAAGTGCAGGGCCCAGGTGTAGCTCCCTTATTTGGACCAGCAAGCTTCTGGGAGACTGCTTTATTCATATCAAGGCATGATCTTATTCTCTGAAGAATTCCTCCTTCTTTCAGAGTCCCCCCCCACCAGATGTCAAACTATGCTGAAGCTGCCCGTTCCAGGCAACAGCACTATGGCTCACCTTACAGCAGTGAGATTCTTCTGCAGGGAAAGTTTTAAGTGCCTTCAAGTGTACAGTTTGTATCTCTGTTCTTTGCTACAGTTGTCCTTCATTTCGTTTCCATCCCACATGAGTACCACCTTCATTTACTCAGAAAGCATTTACATCCCTGTCAGTCTAGTCTAACGAAAGAAATACTGAGATTCTCCTGTTCTCTTGTAGGATGAGTACTCTATTTTTGACATTGTAGCAGCTTCCTTCTCAACTCCTACCGTAATTTGAAGTAATCAGTGCACCTCACTGCCTAGTACTAGTGATGAGAAAGGACATTCACTATTTCTGAGATGCCCAGATGCTGCTCCCTACATCACTGCATCAAGTCACATGCACTGAGCCATTGTCAGAAGAGAAAGACACATCTGGGAGTGAACAAGTTGACAGAAGGCTCCTGCCCCCTTAAATGTGGGCAGACTTTGGGCATGGCTGAGAAGAAACATAGTTGACTCTTTGGAGACCAGAAAGCCAAATACTCCCAAGCGCAAGTAATGCAGTGCCCTTTCGTGGCAGCTATTGGAATTACACATTTAGACGAGACCCCAGATTTTCTGTTGCAGATCACAAGTTCCAGTCCCTCTGTGGCAGCAGTCCCTCCTCCTCCTCTGGTCACCTCTTCAGCACTCTCACTCTTCACGTGCAAGGTGCCTGTTGCTGGCTGTAGGAGAAAGCAAAAGAGAGAATTTGCCTTGACCTCCCCCTCGTACTGAAAAGTTGACAGAACATGTGACCAGATCTTCCCTCCTGGGATCTGGAGCATTTCAGGCAGATGCCTGGACCTGCTTGCTCCCTTCCTCTAGCCCGCACCCTCACCACACGGGCAAACCTGGCTGCAAACCCACTTTGTGGAAGGAGAAGCAGCCTCATTAGAGCAAACCTAGGAACTGTGCTCTGTGATTACTCTAGTAACAAGATACTGCTCTCTGCTGGACAACTGAGTTAACAGCTTGTCAGGCAAAAGCAAAACAACCAGAGGGCAGACTTCTGCCAAATTACGGCGCTATGGAACTACAGTTAGGAGCCACCTCCCTCCACAAGCAAGTCCATTTTGTTCATTAAAATGCAGGGAGCAAAAGATTGAGCCTTGCTAGCTGCCAGAAGAAGGTAGTTTAGGCCAGATCACACTAGGGACTACTCACAATCATAAACTCTTGCCAGGGATCTCTGGAGCGGGGAGACATGTCACTTTGGCTCGTTTGTACAGTTCTTCAGTGCACAGCTCTTCTGCTCCCTCATGTTTGCGCTTTGGAGAAGCCTGGTCTGCTTGCGACAGCCTCACTGCTGTAGGGGAAGAAGAGTCACTGCAACATTTCCCCTGCCTTTAGATCTCCTCACAAATGCACCCTAGCCTAACCTGCTACAGAGCTGGGAGAAAGAAGAATATGCAGTGCACAAGCACAGAGAGATGTTGCCACAGACTCCTTGAAAACTTCTGAAAAAACTTTGTTAAAAAGAGAATAATTAAGTCCCCCAGAACAAATACAAAAGTATCCTCCTTTGACAGAGGACAGCTTAATTATACCTGATTAGCCCTACAGTGATCTGCACTTCTCCCTGAAGTGGCTGCATATGATCCCATATAGGCAAGAAAAGATTCACTTTAATGAACTCCTATCCTTCAGCCCTTTTAGGAACGAAGGCTCACTGGGGACTTCTGAAGAAAGCCTAAAGGAAGGTGAATGGGATTTATGTTTTCCTAGCTACACACCCTCCTCTTATTAGAAAAGGATCTCTCTCTCCTGCTCATAGTTTCATATCGACTTAAAGGCTATCTCAGAAGCACACAAATAGCTCCAACTCACCTGTACCGGTGCTGCAGCCCTGCCCTGAAGCTGAGTCTGCAACTGGGCCACTGAGATCTTCCACACATGAAGGGACTGATGCCAGTAAACCTACAGAAAGGCAAGAGGACGATAGTTAAGGAACAAAAAACATCTGGGGTGGCAGAAGCCTTTCACGTGGAAACACCTTAGTGATCACCAACCAGAATATCCATATCCCAAAGCAGGATGAGTTCAGAGCTGTGCTCACCCAGTGTTGGCCACAGACAGACACTGTAGCAGTGTGCTACATATATCCATTCATATTTAGGATGTTTTGCCTAGATTTTTTTCCAAAGTGAAGACTGGACCATTGGTGGCATATGGATGGTGCCGTGCCATCACCAGCTCTCAAAACTAATCGAACTCCACTCTTAGCTGTCCAAGAGCTCAACAGAGCTCTCCCTGGAAGCTGATTCAGCAGCTTTGGCAGGGCCTGCTTCCTCTTGCAAGGACTGGCCAGAGAGACAAGTGCTTTCTATTTTAAATCATGACCCCTCCTCCACCATTTTATCTCCTATTAAAGACACAATCTTTTGCAATTGTTGGTACTTACAGAGCCCCCTATAGCGCGACAGCTGCTGGTAGATCTGCTTCATGCGTTCGATGTTCAATCGGCTGGTCTCCGCATGGTTCACCATAGGTTTGGGGTAGTCCACCCCAATGATGCACTTGGCTGCCTTCTGCACAGACTCTGGGGCATTCCATGGTTCGTAGATATATCGTGAGGGGAAGCCCTTTAGTTTGGGCAGATACCTCCTGCAACACAAGTAAAAAAATGCACAAACACCACTTACAAGTGCAGCAATGCAGCGTTTACCATGCACCTGTCAGCTACTGAACAGCTTAGGCTCACAGATCAAGCAAGAAAGAAGCTCCAGGCACATCACTTACTTAACGTAGTCACCACTGGGGTCTGTGCGACGTCCAAAGCCCACGGGGCAGTAACAGTGGAAGAACTGCTGGAAGAACGCACTGCATGAAAGCCACATCCAGCTGCCTGCATTTACGCTGAAATCTGCATCCAGCAACAGTTCATCAAATACCTGCAGCAATTGGAGGAAAAGGCAGTGAGAGCTTCCCCAGGCAGGACTTTGTGGCAGGAGGACCCAAGGTGTTATTTCAAATGGCAGGCACTGAGCTGTGAGAACAGCTCCTAGAAACCAGAGCAGCAGCAAGGAGGTGATCTGCTGGCTGAAGCCAGTTGGCTGGTCAATATATCTCACTTCCTGATGCTTTCACGTAGGGAGGCACTGTCTGCTCATGCTGATAAAATGCTGGCTTATCTCTCACGCAGCTACAGACTAAATCACTACCTAGTGTTGCAGCAAGCCTTAGGTATTGATCCTAACCTGGGAGGCGTAACAAGTGCAAAGCACCAACTGTGGGAAGCAGGCAGATGCTGCACAGAAGAACAAGCACCAAATCAAGAAGGAAGAACCCCAGAGCACACAAGAAAGTCCAGAGCACACTGCCACTGAGAGGCGGACAGGTTTCAGCAGTAACTTGTTCACATCCACGCACAGATGCTGCCCTTTTAGCATCTGACCCTATGACGCACTTTCAGCTATGTTCTGCTTTGTCAGCTTTGTGACAAGATGCCCCTGACTCCACTTTTTGTGTAGGGCAACAGGTACACCAGATAGGTTCAAGCTGTCTGTCCCTTCAGATGGCCCAAGAGGAGGGTCTTTTACCTCTTTCCTTGAGAGACTCTAGACTCAGATTTCAGAGTCATGGAACATTCCCTGACCAGCATGGTGATGGACTATACAATGAGGAAAAAGGTCCAGTTATAAAGTGACATTGAACTTGCAAAGAAAACAGTCAGACTGAGAGAACTTTAAAAAAAAAAAAAAAAAGACCCCCAAAACCCCAGCCCCATT